CTAAACCTCAGTAAATTTGGACTGAGATGTGGTGACTATGGAGGCCATTTGTATACAGTGAACTCGCATGTTCAAGAAATCAGTTTGAGATTTTTTGAATTTTGTGACATGGTGTGTTAACCTGCTAGAAGCAGCCATCAGAAGATGGGTACAACGAGGTCATAAACTGATGGACATGGTCAGCAACAATACTCCGGTAGGTTGTGGCGTTTAAACAATGATCAGTTGGTACTAGGGGGTCCAAAGCTACCGAGAACATATTCCCCACACTATTTCATCACTAGCAGCAGTCTGAACTGCTCATACGAAGCAGGATGGACCCACACTTTATGTTGTTTACACCTAATTCGCACTCTACCATCTAAATATTGGAGCAGAAATCAAAACTCATCAGCCTAGCAATCTTCTATTGTCCAAATTTGGCGAGCCAGTGCGTATTATAGCCACAGTGTCCTGTTCTTAGCTGACAGGCTGTGGTCCTCTGCTGCTGTAGTCCATCTTCAGAGATTCTCTTCTGCAGTGAAGCTCTTCTGCATACCTTGAGTATAGAGAAGAGTGATTATTTGAGTTACTCTTGCCTCCCAGTCACTTTCAAGCAGCCATTCTCCTCTGACCTCTCAGATCAACGAGGCATCTTCACCCTGAAAACTCCCACTTATTCAATACTTTCTCTTTTTTGGACCATTTGCTGTACAACTGAGATGGTTGTGTGAAAGAATTACAGCAGAGGAGCTTGTTTCAGACGAGGCCGTCCGGCACCAACAACAATGCACATTCAAAGTCACCTAAATCACCTTTCTTTTTGATTCTGAAGCACTATTTGAACTTTAGCAGTTTGTTTTGACCATGTCTACATGCCTGGAAGCACTGAGTTGCTGCCATGTGTGGGTAGATTAGGTTTATAAGATATTAGGTTTAACAAGCAGTTGACCAGGTGTACCAAATGAAGTGGCCAGTCAGTACATATAACTTTTAGCACCACCTAAGTAGCTTTGTGTGTGTTGCAATCAGTGTTGGGTAAGTTACTTCAAAATAGTAACTTAGTTACATTACTAGTTACTTCTCTCAAAAGTAACTCAGTTACTTCAAGTTACTCGTTACTTTCAAAGTAACTAGTTACTAGGGAAAGTAACTTTGGTTTTACTCAGAATTCT